TTTGTACAATGTTTCCATATCAATAACCTCTATATGAATGTATTTTAAAATACTCTTATTTAAACAAAATCCATTTTTAAACTTGACCCAATCTTGAGCAATATCACAATGTTATTTTCACATCGGAGCAACATGCTCATATAGACTGGTCAGCTGGATCACTAGAGCACATAAAGATTATATTAAAAGCACAAACAGCCTACGTCCCTAGGGATTGGAGCTGGACATACAAACACACACACAAGATGTCCTTACAGGGCTTCACATGAGACGTGCTGGCGTGACTGGGAATTCTTTCTGGAACTCCGGGGGCTGGTCAGACCTCGAGGGCCTGGCTTATATCACAGCTGTGGCTCCCTGGAAGGAGAGGGGTGTCTGGTCATAAGCCCCCGTCGGATGTGTGAACTGCATCCCTATCCTTTGGGGCTGTGGGGAGGGACTCCTTGAACCTATGTCCCCTGGGAGTGGAGACAGAGCAATGCTCCCACCCTTGGTGCCCAGTATCCTGAAATGAGGGCCTGCCCGGCCAGGGCCAGGGGAGTGCCCCACCCTGTACCCTTACCAACCCTCTCCTCTTGTTTGGTGGGATTTCAGAAATCTCCCTGCTCGCTGACATCACCCGAACAGGCAAGGTGACGCCGACCAGAGCCCAGGGCCCTCAGGTACCTGGCCATCCTTGGCCAACATCCCAACTGCTCCTTTGAGCTCTGCTGGGGGTCCCCCTAGTGGTGACGAAGGGAATGGCCGTCTGCCTCCTGTATGCCGGAGTGACAGGAATTGGCCCAACGAGAGACAATCGGTGCTGACCAAAAAGAAGGGGGGGAAATCACCATCGGTGTTTTGACGTAGGCACGTGCATGAGCCATCTTCTCAGGACTAACTGCTCCACGGCCTTTGCACGGTGGGGGCCTTTCAGAAGCAGCTCACCAGGCCTGGATCCCAAGGCACCTCAGGTGGTCTTGAAGCACCCACCTTTGGGCTAACCCACCTTTGGGCCTGGGCAGGGCGGGGTAGGAGGGAGCCCAGAGGGACAGGATGTGTGTGGAGGAAAGAAGGGCCCATAGGGAGTGGTCTGAACCCTGGGTCTGTGGACAAACGTCAGGGTGCCCCTGGACCCCCACAACGGCTTTGTGGAGTCCATCGAAAGGGGACAGGGGGAGAGTGGGAGAGCAGGAAGAAGATTCTGGGAAAGTTACCTGGAATCGGCCTTCCCTTCCCGCTCAGACGCTGGTCCTCCCCAGCGGTGGTGCTGGCTCTCAGGAATGGAAGGTGTCAGCACCAGTTGCTTCCCCCAGGGAGGGGCCATGTAATTTGCTTTCATCTTTGAACTGACAAGTGCCCAGCTGCTAAGAATAGACCCACACTTATGAGTCAATGAGTAATTAAGAGTTCGCATAATCGGAACTATTTAGATTCTAATCTTGACATCAATATTGAGCTCTGCTGGGGTTGTGAAGTCAGCATTTTTCTTTTTAAAGTTGTTCAAGTCCGTTCCACCGACTTCAGCACCTTTTGAGAAACAGTTGGAGGGCATTTCCGGGGGGTGTTTATGAGTTTGAAGGCAGGCAAACATCCCTCCTGGGATCAGAGAATTACTTGATGTGGGAGCAGGGGTGGCACCTGCCAGACGCTGATGAGGTGATGGGGCACATGGGGCCTCTCTGCACTTTCCTAAGCAGCCCACCTCTCCTCGGTGTCCACAGGGGGCCTGGGCCTGGGGCCCCTGCAGACAGGGAGCCATCCTGCTGGTGAACTGTGACAAAGACGATCCCAAATCCTCTGCCATGGACTTCGAGGACCATGGGGTGCAGAACTGCAAAGGTAAAGACCCAGAGGCTTTGTCTTGGGAAATGGGCTTTGTCCACACGGCCCGCGTCGCGTCGCGTGCCAGCCTCTGAGATAGTGCCCTTTGTCCATGTGTCCATTCCAGAGGCGCAGAAACGGGGACTGCCCACGGTCATCCTGCATTCAGAGAAGAGCTGAGACCAACACTGAGGCTCCTCTAAGATCCAGTTCCCATAACCTTGATCCCTGTCCAACCCAAGCTTCTGCTCTTCGAACCTAAAATAACCCCTGAATGCATGGCACAGCAGGTCCTGGGTCCGTGCCAGACCTGGGCACTGCTCTGAGCCCTTCAGAGTTAGGACCTCCTTTGATCTTTCACACTAAGCTTGGACAGAGCGAGGTCCTCACCCCCATCCTTCAGGTGGGGAAACAGAGGCACGGGAGGTTAAGCAACTTGCCCATGGTTACGTACGTAATAAGAAGCAGGCTCAGGATTTGAACCTGGGCCTTCTGACATGAGGCAGGTTTGGGGCACAAGGAGGGTGGTGGGCTGGACAGGGGTGCAGCCCCCTGACCCTTCCCTTCCCCCAAGACACATCTCTGGGCTGCTGAA